CGATTGTCTCAGCTTCGCAAGATGACAATGCTACGCTCTTCTGCCTCTTGCTTTGGAAATGAATCAGGTTTCCACTCACCATGATCACTCCGCATGAAACACTTTGTCTTGACTCTCGGTCTGCTGCCCAGTCACTGTCGCTTATCACTTCTATGAGTGCTGGCACTTTATAGTTGTCCCTTTCGTTTCCTTTCTCGCTTCTGTTCTTCACTTCGAGGAAACTTTTCCCAGGGTAACTTCCTTGATGTACCAGTGCGAGCTCTGGTGATCCCTTGAGATACTTTCCAACGTACCTTAACAGTTCCATGTCTGCTTCAACGGGTGATGCGAGCTTTGTTGACAGTTTCTTCAAGACGTACATGATGTCTGGCCTCTCGGGCGCGAGATACAGTAAGATCCCTACTCCTTTTCTGAATGTGTGGTGGTCTTCTGTACTCAGCGGTTCCATTCCACCTTCTTTTGTTTGAAACGATCTTCCATTGTCCGCTCGACACGGTAGTTTCTTCGGGTATGCTCCTTCCAACTTGAGCACTTCTACCAGTCCTTCGATGTACTTTGAGTTCATCGTGATCTCTACGTTTCCATCTCCCATTGACTTGAAACTTCTTTTCAGGAAACTCATTGATCCTTCATTCTCATCCATTGGTCCTTCAACTTTGATCTTCAATCCTTTGCTTCTCAGGAATTCGACTAACTTCTTGAATTCTTCTTTTGACGCATATAGCTCCATGTCATCTACATGACTCAGCACGATTATTCCGAATCCTTCTTTGTCTGGCTTCCTTGAGAATAGTGCCGGGAGCCCACTATCACTTGCTAACCCATACTCTTCTAGGTAGCTTTTCAACTTCCCGAACCAAGCTGCACTGCCGATTCGCTGTCCGGGCAACGTGTACCCGAGTTTAGGCGTCGCCTACATCGATACTGCCGAGTGTGTACCCTTCCGAAGATGCGAACAGGGCTGACAGTAGCCTCACTGTGCTTGCTACACCGGTTGGCGAAAACAAACTTGCAATGTCTGTATCACCTAACCACTTGAACTCTCTTGCTACTAATCGTCCTCTTCTTCTCCACTCTTTGTCCCTGTGCCTCCAATCGTACACTATCTTTGTCGAAAGAAACTTGTACTTTGAAATGTCTGTTCCTTTTGGCAACTTGTTCAGCACTTTCATCTTCTCAAGTCTTTCCAACTCGTGCTTCTTGGACACTCCTTCGACTTTCTCCATTTCTTCATCCGCTAACTTTGGTGGTCCGCTTTCGAAATCGTTCGACCATTTTGGCATATCTTCTGGTATCTCTTCTTCACCATCTGATTCTTGCCATTCTTCTTCTTCATCGAACTCTGCTTCCATTTCTTCAATTCTTCCAATTCGACTTCTTCGTCATCGTGATACTGCGGAAGTTCCTTCCTTAGGAATGGTTCTATCTTCCTCACGCTTCTCGTGTCGATAACTCTTCTTACCGAACTTGATGCTTGTCCCGAGGATCCATCTCCTATGGCCATAAACTTCTCTGGCCTTTCTTCGACTTGCGTTGTTCCTTCGCCTATCTTCTGTCTCACCGCTTCCGGCTGCTCGCCTTTTTCAAGGTTCCTCTTTGGCGATGCTGGCGGTGCATTCTCTCCTGGAATCAGCTCGTCAGATTCATCACTTCTTTCGCTTCTTCTTCTCGTGACTCCTTTTCCACGACTGCTTGAACTGCTGCTTGTTGATCCTGCATGTCCTTCACCTGGATCTTCGTCCATGTCTTGTTCAGTCTCACTTGGCGGATCAGATGCCGCTTCTTGGCTTGGGCTGTAATCCTTCAATTCATCTTCTTGCTCTTGACTTCTTTCTCTTCTTGGAACCAACTCTGGCTTATCACCAGTTGCTATCTCGATTCCACTGTGCGGTGGCAATCTCTTCGTCGATTTTCTTCCTACCAACATGTCTTGTGTGTAGTTCCACGGTGTTCCTGTTGCTTCTGCTAGCACTTCGACATCATACAGTGGCGTACACTGTCTTATCGTTCTGCTCAAGATGATTCCTTGTCTTGTGCTTATCAGATTCAGGTTGTTCACCGAGTCTTTTCCAACGAAGATTCCTTTTCTCCATGCTTCTCCCTTTTCTTTGACTTTTGGTACCGGCTTTGCCAATACTACGCTTCCCCATGGCGCTAATGTTCCTTTGTACTCTCTGTCGAATAGTACTTCAAAGGGTGTTGATCCTTTCTTCACAACAAACCTGTTCAGCAGGAATGCTGCATGTCTTGCTGCCCATGGATACAGCGTACTCTCTGAAGTAATCTTCACTTTCGCTTGTGATTCAACTCCATACACCAGTGTCTTGGATAAGTTCCTAACCGTTTGAACCCATCTTTCAACTTGCAATCCTTGGTGTTCATCTGGCGCTACATCTTGTATCTCTGTATCAAGATTCTTCATCTTCCGTATTCCTTGTACTTTCTTTCTCAGAGAAATCATTGCTGGTTCTGTGTCAGTTCTCAGGATGACCTTAGAATTTAACAGCATAAGCACTCTGCAAACTTCTTCAACAACGTATGCCGTCACTTCTTTTGTCGCTACTGGAATGACATGTACGAACTTTGTTGCTTCATCAACCATCACAAGTCCGATTGTCAATGCATCTTTGTTGTCTTTTGTGTTCTCTTCATCTCGAGTTCCAGTGAACTTGAAATCCATTGAGACTAACGATGCTTCATTCTTCTTCTCAGATACATCGAAATTGTCTTCTCTTGATCTCGTTGCTTGACAGCTTTCACACCAGTCAGCTTTTGGTAGGTGTGTCAGTTCGTGCTTCTTTCTTTCTTCATCAGTTGGCATCTCTGGTCTCTTTTCTCCTTTTGGTTCTCTTGTGAACTCTAGTTCTAGTCCTTTGGAGATTTCAACCAACTCCTTCATCTTGTTTGCCGAAATGGCTTGCTTCAACCTTTGCCATATCTGAGTCTTGCTTCCAGTCTTTCCTATTTTCAGGAATTCACATGCTGTTCTCATCTCCTTGAGTGAACTTTCTGGGCTGAGTTCAACTCCTGCCACAATCATCGCTTCTTCCATCTTTTCTCCTAACTTTGGTAGTTGCTCTTCGATTTTCTTCCATTCTTTCATCTCTTCTGGTGCAGGTGATTCACTTGGCAACAAATTCTCCATAGCTTCCGCGGCTTCTTTCTCGACTTGTTCCATTGTCTTCTTTGTCTCTTTCTTTTCTTCGTGAACCGCCATCTCCACGTCTGCTGCTTCCACTTCTTTCTCTTGCTCTTTCTTCTTCTTCTTTGAAGCTGTTCTTTCATAATCACCATACTCTTCAAGTCCTAGAGACTTTCTCTCCAAGATCGTGATGATCACCGAGTTCTCTTCAACTGCGTCTATCGCAATCTCTTCTCGGTCTTCCCACTTTTCAGCGCACTCCACAAACTCCAGTTCGCTCCATACGATGTTGTCACCATTGTACCTCGATACCAAAGTAGTTCTGAACTTGAACGCTTTCACATCATCATATGTGGGGTCATAGGTCACATACTTGTCATAATCGATCCTTGCTGGCTTCCCATCTGACATGAAAAACCATCCTTGATGATACTTCATCTTCTCGAAATCATCTTCCATCTGCTTGATCAACGTCAGCTTTCTCACTTGTGGTTCATCACTTTCAACCTTCACTTGTGCTCTATAGATCTTGAGGTCAGTCACTGTTGAGTTTCTTGCAAACCTCACTGGCACTCTTGCTGAACCTTTCTTCAGGTAAGCATTGAACTGGTCTAGAGGATCAAGTCCCCATCCAACTTTCCACAACTTGCCTACTGCAAATAGTGGTTGTGTTACATCTCCGAACACAGCTGAATCTCTTACTTTTATCACTCTTCCATCTGTCCTTTGAAATTCGAATGTGATGTTCGCTCTTGTTTCAGTGGTTCTTATCCTGTTGCCTTGAGCATCTTGAATAACCATTCTCAAAGCTGGGAGTTCAACTGTTCCTAAGTCTTCACTGTAGTAGCATAGCGGAAGTACATGACAATCCGCTCCACTGTCTAAAACTACTTCAACGAGTTCTGAGTAGCTTGAGCTAACAGCTCTTACTCGATGCACTTCTGGTCTTTCATCTTGAACACTTCCGAAAAGTCTTTCTCTTTCTCTTGCATGCTTGGCATTCTGCTTGTCCACTTGCAGATCTTCATACCACTTGTGAAGTTCATCCTTCTCATAATCTTCTTCGTCGCTTTCATCGGCCATGTTTGACCACATTGTGCTATGGTCAATTCTCACTGCTCTTGCAGCATAGTCCATCACCATTTCTTCGAACATTCCTACAAGATCGAGGTACTCTTCATCATCGTCGAACACTTCTTCAATCACTGGCATAGGTGTTGTTACCAACCTACGCACTTGCTCATTTCCTTTTGCTCCTTGTGGTGGCTTTGCTTGTGCCTGTGTAGAAGAACTTGGTTGCTCTTCATACCATTCTTCCTCGCCTGTCTCTTGGACGTTGCGAACTTTTCCTTTCTTTCCTTTTCCTTTCGGTGGTAACCAACACTCCGAAGAGTAATGTCCGGTCTTACCACAGTTGAAACATACAGGTCCGTTTTGTCCACCTTTTCCTTTTCCTTTGTCACTCTCGTAGCCTTTCCCTTCGGCCTGCCTGACGCTTTTTCCTCCTTTCTTTCCATATCCTTTTCCTTTTCCAAAACCTCTTCCTTTTCCTTTTCGTCGGGAGGCGGCAAGCGTCCGCGGCCCGTGGGCCCTCGGCGTGCACCGAATTAACCGTGCTTTGCACGATCATCCTCCTTTGGAGGGCATCGCCCGCAGGCGGAACAGGCTACAGCCTACGGGAGAGCAGCTCATCCCTGATGTGCTAAGGAGTGCAAGCACGTCCTGGGGAGTGCAACACGTCCCCGCCCTGAGCTACGGCTCTACGGCATAACTGACAGGGCAGCACATCGAGGAGTGTGACACGTCCTCAAACCAGGAGTGGATCACGTCCTGGAGGGAGTCGAAACGTCCCATACCTCTAGCCCGAGGCGGGCTCCCTGAAAGAGGCGAGGTATTCCGCGACGGCCAACACGTGGGACACCGTCATGAGGTGTGCCTGCATGTGTTCCGGGCTCGGTGCCCGGACACGACATGCAATACACCAGAGCATGCCCACGCTCACCACTGGGGGGGTGCTGTCCTGATGCAGCTCGAACCCCTCCACCGTGGTGGCATACAGCTTGGCCGTTGCAGTCGGCACCCTCATGCACAAAGCGTCCCCCACAGAAACGGTGCCGTCGTCTCCTCTGGAAGGAGTCGCAGGGCCCCCAAGTTGAGGCCCGTGCGCATGTGCAACCTTTCCAGGAGTTCCCTGGAGGTTGAGTGTCCCGGTACCGGCAGCCTGATAACCTGCAGCTGACTGCCAGCCCGGCATTCCACATCAAGGCGATAAAGCCACTCTGGAGGCGGCAGAGGGTTTGGCGGTGGGTTCACCTCTGCCGGGCTCTCGGCCTCCGCCTCCAGCGGGTTTTCAGAAACCCCCGACGGGGCGGGTTTGGCCCCTTCCCCACTCGTGTCCGTTGAACCTGCCGGCTCCTGAGGCGGGGCCGGCAAGGTGCTCTGAGCAGGTTGCTCAGGTGGTAGGGATCCCTCCCCTGGTTGCTGCGGTGGCATCTAAGGCGTTTGCTCGGACATCGAGGTGTCTTCCCCAGGAGTGCGAGGGGAAAGTGGCACCTCGGCTTTCGGGTTGGGCTTTGCCGTGTCGGCAGTAGCCCTAATGGGCTCCGTCATGGCTGCAGGGTCGGAGGTGAGGGGTTCACTGCCGCCCTCGCCCAGGGGCGGTCTCCCATCCTCCGCCTCTTCCTCCGCCTCGTCCGCGGGGGAAGTGGGCTCCCCATCCGGCATGCCCATTGTTTCATCTGCCTGCTCCTCCTCCAACTCCCCGGCCTCCATCTCCTCCTTGGGCGACAGGGGCCGCAGGTGTCCTGGGCTTACCAGTGCCAGCTCCTCCTTTGCCTTTTCCTCGGACTCCTCCTTTGAGCCCTCCGTGGCCCTTGCCGCCTTTAGCGGGAGGCCCCATCCTGCGTGCGGAAAAACCTATGCAGGCCGGCAGCAGAGCTAACACTACCTGGGGCTCTAACCGGGTTAGGGGAATGGTGAGGTTGAGGGGAAGTCTTGGGCAGAGTTTCCTGAGGTTCTACAACTTTAGTTGTGCTGGCTAGGCGTGTATCCCGAAGGGATTGAACTCGACTAAGCGGAAGCTTTTTCATGGAGTGCCGTATGCCCACGAAGTCCGGGCAGCAAGTCCAGCAAGCATTAGAGGTTGATGGGTGGTCCAACCGCACCATCAACGAAAGTAAAGCGATGCATATGCGTAGCACAAAAAGCGAACAGAGCAAGCGGAAAGTATCGATGCAACGACAACTTAAGCATTTGCATCTGAGTGTGGCGCACAGAGCATGCAAGAAAGCTGCAGCGTTTTAGCTGCGTGTACGGAAGCTGGGCGATGAAGCCCAGAGACCAGCCCGAAGAAAGCAGCATGCCTAGAATGTGACAGGAGAGGGCCTGAGGGCGTAAAACGGTTGGGATTTCAGGCTGGTGTGAGACGCACGGTGAAGCACTGCACTCTAGATACGGCTGCCCCGAAGCCGGAACTTTTGACTTCTTGTTACGGGGATCTTGAAGCGTTCTTGTAGCCAATGCCGGTGAGACCGAAAGGTGTGAAATGGGCGGGAGGGTGAGGATTTTCAAGAAAGATGCCTAGCCAGCACAACTGAGCCACATGTTCGCACGAACATAAAGTAGTAAAACAGATGTGAACAAGTACACTAACCGTTCTACAACTTTAGTTGTGCTGGCTAGGCGTGTATCCCGAAGGGATTAAACTCGACTAAGCGGAAGCTTTTTCATGGAGTGCCGTATGCCCACGAAGTCCGGGCAGCAAGTCCAGCAAGCATTAGAGGTTGATGGGTGGTCCAACCGCACCAATTTAGAACTACCCAGCAACCTCGCTAAGAAAAACACCCCGAATTTATGTGAGGTTGGTGGGCACTCCATGCGAACGAATTTGCCACGGAAGCTGCACAGACGAAGGTGAGACACTGATCATTGGCCGCGGTAGCCAAAGATCCTGAAGCGTAGCGGAAATGCGCTCGTGCTGCAAACAATCGTGAGGCAATGGATGCTCATGTGGTCTAGACAGAGCATCTGCTTTATCATTTGCTTCACCCGGTATGTGCGATACGTCAGGGGTGACTCGATGCACCGCTGCAAGAAGTGAAATTCGCTCCAAGAAAAAGCACAAGGGCTGACTGGTTGTCAAGGAGTCATTAACACCTGATTCCGCCCCCGTGTTATCTGAAAGAGCTCTGAGTGTGATTGGGATGCAACTGCATGGAAGCAAGGCAGATGCCGCCAATATCAGCGCTGCCTGTGCGAGAGCTTCATAACACGAAATCTCCCTTGCCATATCAGCTTGAACCCCAATGCCCAAAGCTAGGAAATCAGCGTGAGCAAAGGTTTGTTGAAACCAGCGATGACCTAAAGAGGGGTGGCACACGTAGCCACCTATGCAGCAATGAGAGCCTTTGGCACTGGCATCTGCACGTGCATCAAATAGAGGAGTGGCAGGCTGCCGCATCGAGCGGAACGGTGACATATGCAACAGCCAATGCTCGAAGATGCCAAGAATGCGCAGCGAGTTCAAGCACAATTTTCGCTTCTTGCTGTTCTGACTAGAAACCCGAAGCCAAAGCCTACGTTCAGAAACCCGAACTGTCTCAAGATCCTGAAGGGAGTGCAAGGCTTGGTGACGTGCCGAAAGCAGTTTGGAGCCGGGAGGTATACCCGTACCTGGCGGCGTCACTGTGAAAAGCAGATCCGGCGACAAGTATCTAGCGATTTCATGCCAGCGCTCTGGCGGAATGCTGTAGTTCGTAGCAGCTGGGCTGTAGAGATCGTGATAAAAAGTATGCAGCATGCTCTTCATGACCGGAAAAAGGCTTGTAGCCCACAGCGCTAAGCCAATGAAGCGTTCCAAATCCTTTTTCGTCAAGCGAGGGTTTTTACGCAAATCTTGCACCATGCCCAGCAGTTTCAAGCGTTTTGATTCTTTAAGCAACACAATACCGGCAGAGTACTGAAAGTCCCAACCTATCCAAGTGACCCGAACAGAAATCTGCAGTTTGTGCCAGGAAAGAGGCACACCGATGATCTGCATGAACATGCAAATCATGGCACTCGTTGCTGGAAGAATGGACATCGCCTGAGAAAAGAGATAGTCATCTACAAACAAATGGCCTGTGTGGGCTATGTAGATGAGAATATGAAGAATGCGAAGGATGCATGAGCCGAGTCGCCCCCACCAGTGCTGGGCAAACGTGGCTCCGAATGGGCATGTGCGATAGAAATAGAGGGCATTTGACCCGTCTGGTTCCTCACATGTGAACCCAAGCAGTCCTTGTTCCGCATCTTTGACAACGCAGCGCTTATGAGCGCTTTTGATGTCAATCGAAAGTGCCCCCTGAATCTGCGAGCATTCACGCAGGGGGTAGGAATGCAGGACGTCTCGAGCTGAAGGCATGTGCTGCTTCTCAGGCACGGTGCAATTCGCGTTTGTGCCACAAACCGAATTATCAAGACAAAGCCTTTCTGATCTACCAGGAGCCCTAACAACCGAAAGTTTGCCAAGCGCAACCCCTAGGGGCCAGCGTCGCTGGGCATCGGCCAACGATCCGTTGAATTTGAAGCAAAAACCTTGATCGAGTTCTTCTTGAAGCAGTCTGCGAGTAACAGAGGGATCCACTGTAGCCGAGCGCCAATTCTGCAAGTGAATCGAAAGTGGTATGTCATCTAAAGATTCACGAGTATTAGGCCAAAATTTGTGTGAAGGCGGGATATCCGACTGAAAGCCTGTTGGAACGCCTGCTTTCAAAGCTGGGAACAAAGTTGTATCAGCGTCGCAGCATGTTTGAGCAACAGCTTCCAAGGCATTCAAACAGAGAGGCTGATGTTCCCGCTGTAACCAAGCATCGGCCGGAGCCGCAACGCCTAATGCCGAGAAGAACCCTGCCCTAACCGAAGCAACCTCTGAAGCTGAGAAAAGCGGTTCTTTGCTGGGCTCATAGCGACGCTGAAGCAGGCGGGAGGGGCCGTTCATGGAAGCAGTGGCCTTAAGCAAGAAAGAGCGCAAGTTACGCAACAGATCTGGCGTGCGGGGAGCGCTCCAATCAGCGTGCGAATGACGACCCGCCCCATCATGAACTGCATATGGTAGCTGATCCATGGGCTTACGTGGCACCAGTGTGAGGGCCTCGCGCAATTGCAGTGCAGGGCCTGGTTTGTCCAAGAGAACTTGAATCTGAGCAGCAAAAGTGGTTGCAAGCGCCTCTGGATACTGAGCTGTAAACCTGCTTCTGAACACGCCCGAGCTGTCCAGACCCCGCATGACTTGATGTGAATCACGCCCATGCTCGCAAACACAGCCCATGTTCCGTAATGGCGCATAGCTGGAAGAAAACAACCAGGATTTTGCCCAAGGCAGGCCATAGCCGCACGCAGCCACCCAGACCAGAGAGGCTGAGCATTCATGAATCCAGGACTGTAGGCAACTTTCTTCCCAGGACATTGCTCCTGGAGGTTGTTCAACATGACCGTGTCCACCTGCTGAATAGACTATGGAGACACATTTGCAGCAGCGAGACAGGATTTCATGGCTTTCCTGGAGCTTAGCTAGGTCCGAAGGACCCAAGCCAGGTACCCCATCCAGGTATTCCGGTGTACGAAGCGGGAAAGGTGGCCCACCTGAAAGCTTCAAACGCGAGTAATGCGAGCAACTTGGAGATGCTGCGCAGTACCCCACAGCGCCTGAACCGCAAATGAACAGAAGCTGCTCAAAGAAATCGTCTTGCAGCAAGTCAAAAGCTGGGTCCAAAAGAATGTCAATAGAAAGCGTAGCAAGACCACACGCTTCCACAGCGCATGAAAGTGGCTTGTGCACCCCCGAGCATAAGTCGAGGAAAAAGCGCTGAGGGATGTTCGCTAGAGCATCCAGTGCATGCGAGGAACTCTTTGGGGGCGGGACCGGCAGTGGAGGTCTTAGGGAGTGGTGCCTAAACCCGAAAGCCGAAGGTTGACCCCAATTAACAGAAGACCCTAAAGCAGCTGGTTGTGGCTCGGCCCGCTGCAACATCGGCGGGCGCTCAGAAGGCACCTGGGGCGGGGATGCAATGGTAGGGAAATTGAGCGGGCCAAGAAGGGCATTTTCACAGTTTGCCATAGTGAAGGCTGTCAGGACCCAACGTTCCCCACAGAAGGGTTCTGTCATATGCCAGGAATGAGCCGGAAACTTGATTGGGTTTTCTTTCGTGCTAATGATTTTCCCTTTAAGCGAGGTGTTAAGCATTGGTATGAAGCGCGACTGGTCGCCTGATGCATCCTCAATCCAAAGCGAACCGCCAGAGAAGGAACCCAAGCTAACCGAAAGATTGAAAGATCCCGGCACATTAGCTGTATCTCTATGAGCAGAAGTGACCACATTCTTGGCCACGCACAGCGCATTCCAGGAATCTGCTGGGAACTGTAAGCGCAGAAAATTATTGAGGGCTTTGCACACAGACGGCAGAGCTCGAGACACACGAGTGAGTGCCGAACGATCGCTGACCTGACAACCAAAGTTCCAGTAGCCTGATGATACAGAATTTGCCGAAACAACCGGGCGAGACTGCGAGCCTGGCGGTGGCCAAGAAGCTGACTGAAGTAGCGCTAGGCATGAAGCGTAATCATGAACATGAACTTCAGAAGCAGAGGCTACTGATGTGGCCGAGGTTTGCAATGCACTGATGTGTGTACTGTGAAGCGAAGCTGAACCATGACGCATGCCCGCAAGATGCGGAGCATTTGGAGCAACATGCTCCGATGCTATGCCCGACCCGGGCACCACGCCAGGAAAAGATTCCCTGCAAGAAGCACCTCCGAACTCCGGAGCAGAAGCGGTGACGCATGGTGATGAAAGCGAAGCTGAGTGTTGTGTTGCCAAAATGGCTGGTGAAAGCTGTTCCCTGCACGGGGAAGCAAAAGCAGGTCGAGAACTCGCAGGTGTCGCATGAAGACGTAGCGGGTCCTGACCTGAAGACTGTAGGACACTAGAAGCACATGAATTCGAAGCTGGCAAGTGTGATGAAGAATGTTGCAGCTGATCTGAGGCGGCCGGTCCTAGGAAGCCAGCCGGCCTGGAGGCCGGTGAAACTAGCACATTTTGGGATTGTCAGTGCGAAGTCAAAGCGTGGTTGAGGGCATTGTGGGCCTTGCTCATGCAGGCGGAGCCATCACCCTTCGGGTACGCACAGTTATGCAAGAATGCACAGCTCGCACCCCTGCTGCATTTCCCGGATTGCCACTGCATGCACAATTGTTTGGTCTCGCCATTGACCTGAACATGCTTCACCCAGGAGCCCGCACCCCCTTTGCATGAGGGTTTGCCTTTGGAACCTTTTTCCTTGCCGGGGCTTTTGCCTTTGCCTTCAAAGCTGTAGCCCTTCCAATGTTCCGACATGAAGCGACCAAGCCCTTTGCCCTTGATGCCTTTCTCATTGAAGCGCAGGGGCGGAGGGGGCCTAGGCCTTGCCTGAAGCAAATTTGACATGTCACCCCTGATTTCGGTATACTCGAAGATTGCATCGTTCAAGTTCCAATCCTTCTCAAGAACCAGAGCGTAAATCCCCTGCCACAATTTGCAATCAGCCTGCTGGGCCTCTAGAATTGTGGGAGCTCGCAAGCCTGATGAAGCTTCGTGGCGCTGAGACAAAAGATGTATGAACTTGCTACTATAAGCTTTCAGGCGAGCAAGGTGACAAGAGCCTACCATGGCCAGTGCAACATCGTGGATTGCTAAGATCCTTTGCACTGCACTGACCCCCATGAAGTTATCGCCCACCTCCAACGTGGGAGGCTCATCAAGAAGCAAACTGGAAATGCCGAGCGCTTCCAAACGCGGCTGTTTGGCTGGCCTACTCAATTGAAGCTCGGCCGCTTTCTCTTCTGACATGCGATGCTTCCAGGGAATCCACTTGTAGTCTTTCTTACTTTCTTGATGAGCAGCTAGAGATACCAGACGAAGCGAAGGCATTGAGCATGGAGACAATATCTCGCTCGTGTATGCAGCAAGAAAGGCTTTCTTGTACTCCGTAAGCTTCAAAGCTGTGATTTTTGGCGCGAAGGTTTCTACCCAAGAACTAGTCTCTGAAGCTGATGTGGGAACTGCGGGCGGGGCCGAAGATGCGCTGCTCGACAACCCAGCCCACGCTGCTCGAACTTGCGCAATCTGAAGACGGGAAAGCTCTGAAGATCCAAATATGTCTGGAATCACTTTCTCAAGATCAGCTGGGGAATCCGCCGCATGGCGGAAAGTGGACAGAGTCCAACCCGCATCGGTTGCCACCTTGATGAGAGCTTTCGAGAGGCCTTCAGCTTTAAGAATATCACTCAGGGACATGGCGCGAGACTACCCCCTAGGCTAGAGAGCCCTAGAAACCGAGGGAACCCGAGCCGAGACTACAGGGATGCGCGAAAGGCCTAGGCCGAGAGCGTGAAACAAGTACGCATATTCAGCAGCATATGGCCAGGTCGGCTAGTAGCCCTGCGACCGACCGCAGCCAAGGATAATGGTAACGCATAAGTGCAGCCCAAAATGCTTTCTGAAGCCAGGAAGAGCAAGCAACAATGCGCATATTCATCGGCGTGACCCGAAGTCCGACAGCCCACGGCTGAGGCCCTGACCAGAGCCAAAGACGGAGCACAACCAGAGAAGCCCAACGCAACTGAAAACCCTGAGTAGCAAAGCGGTTGCAACCTGCCCCCAATGACATTTTTTCAACCGCTCACCTGCAAGGCAGCCGATACTACTGATACAGCGGAATTCTGAGACGGTGCCAAAAGTAATCTGATGTTTGCAACAGCTGCCGCCACGACCAGCTGGAGAGATATTGAAGCACACGCGCTGATTCCCGTATTGATTGTACCAGATAAAACCACTCTGCAAAATGGAACCGAACAAAGCGGGATGCGTAGGGAAGCCGCACCAGCCTGAGGAGTTGGGCCCGTCGATCAGCGGTGGTTTCCTGCAGTTCCATGCGATTGCAGAGCTAACCTGAGCGTCACGAGAAGCAGAAATGGTTTGAGCCAAACGACTACTTCGTAACAAATGCGAACCAAAGGACGGAAGCAGACGCACAAGCAGACGCAACGCGAGACAAGCTTATGTTTTAGCACCTGCGCAAAATGCGACTCACTGCTGAAGCTGGCCATATGCAATGCAGCAGGCCTTACGCTTGCAAAGCTGAAGCTGAGGATTGAAATCCGAAGAGATGCGAATGTGATCAGCCGGAAGCGAAACTCCACATGCTGGCCTGACAAATGCACCATCATAAGGAATACCTTTCGATGCAGAAGCACGAACCAACACATGCTGGATGTTCGTCAATGAACCGAAGAGAAACTCATCCGCAGGCCCAAGCAGTGGCCCTTCATCCGCCGAGCTGTCGCCCGACTCCTCATCGGAAGACTGGATGTCCCGTAACTGAAAAGCCGGCACTTGCTTCTGCTGATCCTCCGGGAAATTTTCCTTGGAGGGAAGATCTACAAAAGGAAGTCTATTGCCAGAGCGAAGCGAGAAATGCCGAAAATAATGCCAGCTGCAGGGCCCAACCTCCTTGCAGTAGTTTTCCAACTGGACGTCCGGTTCATCCATAGGAGATTGCGCTCCCCTATGTAAGGGGGTCATGAAGCGAGCGCCCGAGCGGACAGCATGCTGGATCTTCATCTGTGCCCTAAGGGATGGGACAATATCATCCCTGCTATAAAGCTGGCTCGAAGAGAGCCGATGATGGCCTTGACAGGACTTCTCAAGCTGGGATACCTCCGGGCGCTGGCCAGACCATGATAGCATTGTAGTTTTGAGCGAATGTATTGTATAATTTAGCGTCGGTGAAGTTACTGAAGACGGCCTGCTACTTTTCCAAGGTAGAGTAATCACGTGACGCAGATGGCGAAGCGCAGCAGCGTAGCTCATCGGTTGCAAGGGTAAAAGTGTATTGCCTGAACTGTCCAGCGAGAGCAAGAGGCTCGAAGGCAAGGGAACCCCAGCATGGAGGGTAAGATGCTGATGTACTGCATTGTCCAGCGCCTGCAGAAAACGGTGGCACCACGAGTGATTGCCGTAACTCAAGAATCCATGGCACAGCAACCCGAATGGTTGACCAAAGCTGGTTGTCTTTGTTTGGAAACAGCTCCCGCGCAATGATTGCCCATCGTAAGCCAAGGAAGTAAGCTTAACCCTTTGGCCATCCATAAATCTCAGAGATGCCCAGATAAGCACCAGGAAAGATCCCAGCAGAAGGATCTCGGGATCGGTCGCCTCTCGGGAGAGAATCCCTGGATGACCACATAGAGTGATAGTGGCACTGCTTCCTTTCTTTCGCGAGGAAGCTTGCTCTTAAGAAAACTGGCAATGATTTGCGAATGGCTCACTGAGAGACATGCCACCTCAAGCATTTTGTAAACCCAACGAACAGCTTTGATCGCAGTAGAAGAGTGAGAACCAGCTTCAGGATCAGAACCACGAGCCAAACTCATCACAACCAATACATCAGCCATTTGGAATGAAGTGAGAGATTCAAGTGGAATTTGCATATCGCGCAAAGTGGCCAAGAATTGCTTGAACGCAGAGCAATAACGAATCACTGTCGATGCCACGCAAAGAGAGAGCAACCGAGGCAAGTGATCTTGCTTGCTCCCTGCAAGGCCCTGGCCTATGACACTCAGGGACCCCAGCGACGAGATGATTGTTAAGAAGGCTTGTCTAGCAAGCGGAGACTGCGAAGCATTCACACTGATGCCAGCTTGGGAGCGTTGCTTTTCGGAAGGGGCAGGGCCTATCCTAGAACCCGAAGACATAAAGGCGGCAGCGGCTTTCTGAAGATCATCAAGCTCTGAAGAGGAAGCCAAACCTAAACCCAAGGGGACCCCAAGAGAGGACCCAGGCTGGTTATTCAAGGCTGAGGCCGGCAGAGCATCAGGCTCCCGACTTGTCGGAGGCTCAGGAAGTTCCAGGCCTTTGGCGAGCAAGGGCGGGGCTAGAGTTCTGGGCTGAGGTGTTGGGGCCGGCAAGGCGGCACTTGAAGCGGGCAATTTCGGGAAAGTGTACTTAGAAGTGAGGTCAGGATCAGCGGGTCGCTTCATGCTCACAAGCCTGCCGTCTCAAGAGCTGCCACTCTAGCACGCAAACTATTGATCTCGTCTCTGGATTCTTCAAGCGCCCGCAAAAGCAACAAGCTGCAGCGATTAAGGCGAGTGATCTCACGCTCGCAGCGGCTCACACGCAAGAGTGCACGTTCTATTCTTGCAAGACGCCTACCGAACTGATTCAGCCACCGACAGAGCAAATCAAGATAATGCTGGTGACCAACGCTCTGCACAGAAAGGGCATCCACTGTGGACGCTAGCTCCGCACTTGAAGCCATGGGCCCACTCTTGGGGCAGAAGCTCCCCCCCGGGCGAGAGGATACTACAAAAGAAGAATGTGTAAAAATTGTTTGCAAGATGTGAAGTTCAAGCTGCCAAACATGTGGTAAAACGATGTCCGCAACATGAAAGTAAAAGCAAAGCATGTCATATTTTCAAGAAAGATGCCTAGCCAGCACAACTTGAGCCAAATGTTCGCACGAACATAAAGTAGTAAAACAGATGTGAACAAGTACACTAACCGGCTCGCTTTGGCTTCGGGAGGGGACGTGCTTTGGGTGTGTCCCGGTTTCGAGCTTCGAGCCTGAAACAGCTGCCGGAGCTTTGGCTGGGCTTCGGGCTTTGCTTGGGGCTTCGGCTTAACCCTTTTCCGGTCAACTGCGGGGCAAGACTTTGGGTTAGGGGCCAGCGAGGGGGTAGCCGCGGGGAGCGAGGAACTGAGCATGCTCGCGGTGATCTGCCCCTTCTTTAAACGGGTAGGCGCACACTGGCTGGAGAGGGTCATCGTGACTTTAGAGTGCCCTGGCCTAAGCTGCGCGCCACACTTTTTGCACATCCACCTGTCTCCGAGGTTGTGCAAGTCAGGTGACCCATGCACTTCCAGCTCTGCCGGAGTCTCCCTGTGCCGACACTGGTGGGCGGCTACGCGGTTGAACCGCCACAGGGGCATGAGCTGCTTGATGTACAGCCCGCACACCGAGCATGCCGCGGAGGCGATGGCTGTGGGGTGGGCCTCCCACGTGTGCCCGCCGGTACCCTCCCTGATGAGGGCCTCGATCCTTTGGCGTTTGTTCTTTACTCCGTCTGCCGCCGGCCTAGGCCGGTGGCGAGGGGGCTGTGGATCAGCGGCCCCTCACGAACGAGGTCATCGATCTCGTCCGGGCACCATTGTCCCGCTTGGGCCGTGGCCCTGGCCGCCGCTTTGCGGCAGAGGTGGTCGGCCGCGTCATTTACCTGCTTCCTCCAGAGAGAGGCCTCCCCGAATTCAGCGCGGAACCTCCTCGGTCACGTGTGACCGGACCCATGTCAGGGAGGCGTGCTCGCGGCGATCTCTGCTGCCGTAACATCCCGAAACAGTCGGTGGTTATGTCAGCGACCCCTGGGGTGCGGGCGCAGACGCGCGCGATCGCGTATGCCTCTGCTTGGGGGGGGTTGAAGGGAGGTCCTGGGCTGAGTTTCCTGAGGGCTCGCTTTGGCTTCGGGAGGGGACGTGCTTGGGGCGTGTCCCGGTTGCGAGCTTCGAGCCTGAAACAGCTGCCGGAGCTTTGGTTGGGTTTCAGGTGTTGCTTGGGGCTTTGGCTTAACCCTTTTCCTGTCAACTGCGGGGCTACACTTTGGGTTAGGGGCCAGCGAGGGGGTGGCCGCGGGGAGTGAGGAACTTAGCATGCTCGCGGCAATCTGCCCCTTTTTTAACCGGGTGGGCACACACTGGCTGGAGAGGGTCATCGAGGGTTTAGAGTGCCCTGGCCTAAGCTGCGTGCCACATTTTTTGCACATCCACCTGTCGCCGAGGTTGTGCATGTCATGTGTACCATGCACTTCCAGCTCTGCTGGAATAGGGGCCTCCCTGTGCCGACACTGGTGGGCGGCTATGCGGTTAAACCGCCACAGGGGCATGAGCTGCTTTATGTACAGCCCGCACACCGAGCATGCCGCGGAGGCGATGGCTGTGGGGTGGGCCTCCCACGTGTGCCCGCCGGTACCCTCTCTGATGAGGGCCTCGATCCTTTGGCGTTTGTTATCCCCTCCATCTGCTGCCGGCCTAGGTCGGTGGCGAGGGGGCGGTGGCTCAGCGGCCGCAGGCTCTTGGGCCGCCTTGGGGGTTTGTTTCTTCCCCTGCCTTCCCCTGCCTGCGTTTGGGCTTCCTTTGCGGGGTCAGGTCCCACGGCGGTTGCTCGTGGGAGACCAACAGCACGGATGCCCTGTGCTGCAGGAACCGCGTGACCTCACGAACGAGGTCATCGATCTCGTCCGGGCACCATTGTCCCGCTTGGGCCGTGGCCCGATCCGCCGCTTTCCGGCAGAGGTGGTCGGCCGCGTCATTCACCTGCTTCCTCCAGAGAGAGGCTCCCCGAATTCAGCGCGGAAATCGGCCTCGGTCACGTGTGACCTGACCCACGTCAGGGAGGCGTTCTCTCGGCGATCGCCCCCCTGCAACCACGGCCAATTGACCACCAACGACTTCTGCTGACGCAACCCCCGGGTGCGGGCGCAAACGCGCGCAATCGCCTGGGGCACTGTGGTGCCCGGCGGCAGGACGCCGCACGCAGACCCAACCTGCCTGAGCCCATCCGGGGCGCGCTGGAAAATGACCACGCTCCGAGGCTTTTGCCGGAAAGAGGCCCCGGGTCCAGAGACTTTCGAAGGGGTAGGTCACCTGAGCCGTGCCCAGTTGGCCGGTGCGGGTGGAGAACGGCCTTTCCACCACAAGCAGTCCTGAGCGATGTGCAGGGGAGTAAGCTCAACCCTGCACAAAGGGCACTGCTCGCCAGGCCGAATCAGCCGGGAGCGCATTGCTCCTTGCTACACCATCCGAAGAGCACCGGCGCGGGCGTTGCTTGTCCTGCCCTTGGTCAGCTGGCGCGGGACCGTGAGGTCGATCCCCCTGTCCAAAGTCTCGCAGCCGGTCTGCCTGCTGATGGCCTCGTGCCGCCGTCTGTCGGCTAAGGCGAGAACACGCCTTGATTGGCTGGTGGGCCAAAAAGCCACCTGGTGTTCCCCCGACCTTGCCGAGGGCCGCCCAGTGCTGGCCGATGATGGAGGTGCGCGAGTCTTTTGTTGGTGGGCCTCCAAGCTCGAGCGCAACCTCCACACTGCCAGTCATCACCCTCCTGGTCCTAGACACTTGCGCGGCCTGAAAGCGGAGGCTCTTCATGACCTTGGGCGAAACCCCCTCAGATCCGGACGCCATGACGCTCATGGAAAAAAGCCGGGATCGGACCCGGAGGGCCGGCAAGCGGAGAGACTGGAGCTTCGCGAAACGCCGGTTGGCCTTGAGGCGTCGCGCCGCCGACTGGAAGGCTGTGCGGCGCCGACCGGCTGCAGTTTCCATGCCGAGGTCCTTGGTGGTTAATTGGCGCACCGGGGGGTCGCCCTTCCCCAGCTTTCGGCGGAGTGCGCGTTCCGCCTCCGGCGAGCTGGCCATGAAGTGTGTCTTTGAAGCAGACACCTCATTGCCCTCAGCCTCCAACGCGTCGTTGAGACGACGGAAAAGGGTGACGATCCCGGCCGCGGCGCGCTCAGGAGTCTTGTGAACGACGTCGGCCGAGACGTCGTCCACCCAACACCCTACGTAATCCGACCAGGGTGCCTGTACAAGCAGCCCTGATGGGCTTGCCTATCGATAGCTTCGATAGGAGAGGAGCTAGCGGACAACCCGCTACTATTCCTCTCGCTGCGAAAACGCATGGTGATGCGACAGAGTCGGCAGTCACGATGCGACCGCCACGATAGGCTTGCATCCCTAAGTTGAGGAGAAGCGGCGGAAAGCCCCAATGGGCTGCTTCTTCGCACAGCTTTTCGTGGCTCACGCGTTCATAAAATGTGCTCAAATTGAAGAAAATGGTGCAGCGGTGCACCTTGTCGACCCGGCACGCCTCGTACAGAAACGCGCGCCGCAGGGATGCATCGTGGGTGCTCCGGGATGGCAGGGCCGAATCCCACCACAAAGAAGCACGGTTTGCCTCTATCCATGAGCTCGCAAGCTCCCATCGGCACTTAATGCCTAACTTCAGGAAGGTGGACATAAGGCCGATTGGCGTTTTTGGGGAGCGTAACGTACTGGGTGAAAGAGGCTTGGTGTGGGATGACGCCTTCCAACTCTACCTCTCTCCATAGGTCGGCGAGGGTATGAACTTCCTCGATGGATAGGGATTTCAGGAAAGGCACATCCCATCCGTCGAGCCCGGGGGCCTTGCACGGCATCGAACGGATGTACCGGTACATTTGTCGCCCCGTGACAGCGGGCAGCTGCTTGGCTTGCTCGACGGCTTGTCGGCGAAGCTCTGGGAAGTAGGGGGTTGGACTTCCCCGGGCTTGCCACAAAGTGGCCCAGTACTTGAGTCGCTCGTATGGCCGGGACTCAGCTGCCACCTCGGCGAAAGGTCTCGCCACGTTGGTCTCAGCTTTGGAAAGGCAGCGAAAAAGCGGTCTCATGCCCCGCCGGGTGCCCATCACGAGCCATTCGGCCACCGCGTCGGTTTCAGCCTTCCCGGGTGCTTTGGTGCTCCTCGTCGCGAAGCTGTCTGACAACTGCCAGGGTTGAGGGTCGGCCCTCCTCCGCGCAAAGGAAGTCCTGGGGAGAGGAGGCCTCAATCCCTTGCTGTGTGAGGTGGAGGGTGGTCGCCTCCACCGCCTCGGGTGGCATGTTGCCCACCAAAACCTCAATTCTTCGGAGGTGCTTTTGCGGGTGCTCCCAAAAAGAGGCCATTCGACTCCAGAAAGCAGCTATGTGGCCCCTCCACGGGTAGGACCAGTCTTGCTGCATGAGGGGCTTGTGCTGGAGGGGGTTGTTGGTGCCTCTCCCTCCGTCACTGGTGAAATGCCTTGCCGCCATTCCGGATGTCAAAGGATCCGACCGGATAGGTTGGGCCCCGATCGTCCCCAGAACGGGGGCAACATACGCCGGGTCGGCGGGAGCCACTTCATCCCGCAGGGCTCCTTGGTAGCCGGCTAGTTGAGGCAACGACACAAGACCCTGTTGGACCGTAAGGGTGAAGGAGACCGCGGCGTGGGGCGAAAGGGGACCTCCCACACCGTCCTTACGCTGGTCAGAGACGCCAGCGGCCTCGCCAAAAGGGCGTAGTCGAGGGTGTTGCCCGTGTTGATGGTCGGACCCTCGGGTGCGAGGAGGGTTCCTCCCACAGTCTCGGCCCATGAGGTGCCTAGAAACTCGGAGGGAGGTGCGTTCCAGTCTCCAACCACCATCCAGTTGCGGAATTCGCGGAGCGCCGGCCTGACGCCTGCGAGGACTTGCGGGCTGCATCCTCCGTGGATCCCCACTGCCTTTGAAGGTACACGCAGACGACCAGGAGGGTCCATCGCAGGCGAGGGAGGGCGACCGCCACGTAGCCGCAGCCCTCCTCAGTGATCATGCCACCACAGGCTTGACCCTGCAGGTTGGCAGGGACCAAAAGGCCGATGCCACCACGAGTGGGGTAGGGCCGGTCGCCCTTTGGCGGCGGGAAACCGCACTTGGACGATTGAGGCCTTCGGCGTTGAGGTGCAACTCCTGCAGTGCTAGGATTCCCTTCGTGGCTGGGTGCCAAGTGAGCAGTTCCTTCTTCCAGGTGGTCACGTTGGCGCTGGTGATATGGATGGGTCCCTGAGCGGCAATGTCATGCGCGAAAGCGGCCGCTAAAGGATCCAACCACCCCGACCCTTGAAGGCCCTCGAGGAGGTCCCACCCAAGGCGATAAGCAAGACTACCTTCAGGTTCCATCTCAACAGCTTCGCCGAAAGCCACGATAGCCTCCTCGGCATCCTCGAGGCTCTCCGCCTCAGTGCAAGCGAGGGCGAGCCGCTCTGCAATGGGCTGCAGCGGTGAGGGCTGTGCTGAAGCTGCTGGGAGCTGCTCCTGGGCCTTGGCAGGGCTGTCACCCTTAGGAGGTTGCCATGTTGCCCAAAACACGCGTTGGATCTGCGGATCCGGCTTGCCTGGAGGACGTGCCGGCTCCGGCGATTGCCTCGGTGCTGCGGCCCAGGCCTGCGCCCGGGTCGCCGGTTGTGGGAAACTCCTCCCTGGGAGTGGCTGCCACGGTCCCATTGTCGGACTCGGAGACCTCCGAGTCAGTTAAAAACTGCTGTGGCGAAGCCACGCAAGATTTTAGAGGAAAGAACCTGGGGCCACTAACACAGTTATCTGCTGAGGGCAGGGCTCCAGGTTGTCGTTTGCAAAACTGGCGGCTACGACGGGCCGGATGAACAAAATCATGAGGGGTGTTTTGGCCTCACTCTTCGGCGGGTGCTGGAGTGGGAAAACCACCTCCACTCCCTGGGCCGCCGTGGAGGCTCACGCCCTACTCCGTGCTGTGTTTGTTGCTCTCCTCCTCGCCGGCCTGGCCTTCACCGTTCTTCGGAGGAGTACGACTTCTTTGGCGCCCAGGGGCGCCCTCGTGCACCTTAGGTTGCCCGGCTGGGCCGTTGGGTGCGGCAGGGGGTGGGCTCCCTGCTCAGCTGCTGGTTGTGTGCCCTGCAAGCCGAGGTTGAAAGCTGGCAACCCCGGCGGCGCCCCAACCTCGGGAGGCCTCTGCCTTTCTGGGGTTTGGCGCGGTACTCGGCCAGCTTCTCCTGCTGCTCGTCCGAGAGAGTCAAGCCAAGGATGGTGACCAGCTCATCCACATCCATTGGCTCAGGAGTGACAGGCACGTCCTGTACCCCGGCGGGGGTCCCCACAGCCTTGGTGAGCTCGAGCTTGGCCTTCTCCACTGCGTTCTCGGCCTCGTGGATCTTCTCAGTCGTCTCCTGGAGCTCCTGCAGCTGCAGGCGGAGGGATTCCTTCGCCTCCTCTATACTCTCGAGCAGCTTGATCTTCTTGTGGATCAGCACTCGGAGACGGGAGCTGGCCCTGGTGAGGTCCTTGTTGGTTTTCTCCCGTGGTCGCCTCCACAAGCGCGGTGCGGATGTCCTCCGGTAACTCGTCCTGGCGCTGCACCAGCAGGCTCAGGAGAGGGTCGGTTTGGGACTCGACCGCATCTTTCTGCTTGGGAGGTCCTTTCCATCCCGCTTGCACGAGGCGCGATCGTGCCTCTTCCGGGATTTGATCCCAGATGGTCGTGACCGCACGTTTGAGGCGGCGTTCTTCCTCGCGCCTTTCCTTGCGATCGGGATCGCGCTGGGGAGAGGGGGAAGACGACGGGGACTTAGGGTGCTTCTGCGGGCTCGTGGGCTGCTGGCGAGCCGGAGCCGGGGGAGCAGGCCACTTCTTGCCACACTGCTGGCAGTGTGTCTGGCCCTGCTGCACCTTGGAGCACGACGTCCAGGCGCCGCACTTGCACACGAAGTACTGGCCCTTCTGGCCCACGGCTAAGGAGTGATTGCTCACGTCCTTGCTGTATTCCAGCCGGTCAGGGTGGAGGGTGACCCCTATCCACTGCGGCTTCAAGAAAGCAAGGGGTGAAAGCCACTCCCAAGCCAGGGCACTATGGCTCACAAGGAGGCTAAAGCTGGGATTATGAGGGCCTCGAACCTGGTCGCACAGCCGGTTGAGAGCCCCAAGCCCGTTAAAACAGCACTCACTACGCCACAAAATGTGGCACTCGAGCCGAAAACTTGAGCCATCCTTTTCCTTTTGATCTTCCTCTACCACCTTTTCCTTTTCCGTATCCTCTGCCCTTTCCTTTGTCTTTTCCTTTTCCATAAGGGCTTCCTTTTCCTCCTTTGTCACCTTTTCCTTTTCCATCTCCTTTACCTTTCCTCATATGCAATCTATCGAGTTCCATCGGAATTGGTCCTTGATAAGTCTTGTTGCTTGAGTGTGACGTTGGGTCTGGAACACTCAATGATCCTAAGATGTTTTCAGCTGACCATGTCTGATTGCTTCTTTCATATTGTAGCAGCTTTGCTCTTAACTCTTCGTACGTGGTCTTATCAGTGATATCAACCATCACATGCTGCTTGAGGTGCTGCGGTATTCCTTTAAGCAGTGTACCGATCTTCAAGTTTTCATCGTACTTCTGGCCTGAGAGCTTTTCGTACTCTGCTGTGAGCTTTTCGTATGTCGGGACGTAGTCCATCAACGATGCTCCTTTGCTCATGGCTGGGAATCCAACCAATGCCTGAGCCATTGCTAGACTCCTTGAACGAGATGTCGGCTCTAATTCAGCCGTCAACTTTCTCCACACTTCAAATCCATTCATCCCGCTCACGCTTCTCAGCACTTTCAGAGGTCTGTTTCTCAAGTAACTGCTTAACACTGAGTAAAGCTTCGTTCCTCTGTTCACTCTTCCTTGATCATTGTTGAAGAATGTATTTGTCACCTCCATTGATATAGCGGCTCCTTGTTCTTCTGCCGACTTCAGGTCCTTAAGGAATTCTTGGTCCATGAACGCTAAGAAGTTCTTGAACGTAAATGACCAGTCACTCCATTGTGACACTTCCTCTTCAATCGTAGCTGGATTAAACGATTCCGGTGGCTTGAGGATCTTACCTCCAGTATCAAAACTTACTGAGGCTGGCTGGCCTCCCGTAGGGGCTGCCTTTGGTGATGCTTGGGCTTTCGCCAGTGCATCCATTGCTGTTGTCAATTGTTGTTGCTGCATTGCTGTTCCTTGCGCAACTCTTGCCATAGCTTCTGTAGCTTGACCTAGTGTAGTCATCAGCTGTTCCAACCTCACCTGCTGGGGGTTCGGCTGGTGCTGTGGCTGTTGAGCTTGTTGTTGCTCTTGCATCTTTTCAACACTTTGGCAGGTCCTTGTATATCTGGCCCAAGGTCTTCACTTCCACGCTTTTCTCCGACTTTGCAAGGTGCTCTTGGCTTAGCCGTAACTCCTCGCTGTTCTCCGACAGGATGCTCTTGGTAAACCGTAACTTCCTGTTCCACACTTTTCACCTTTTCCAGCTCGTGGCTGGCTTCCCTGGATCTTTGCTTGATCAGCTGCTGGCCTTTGCCAACAGCTCCGCTACCATGAAAGTTTAAACCCTTAAACCAGTATCCTTCTTACAGCACGGCGCGAGCTTCGGATTCTTTTCTCACTGCTCGCTCTGCTGTCAGGCTGTCTTGAGCCTACGTTTGACCTACGGAGATACGCAGTGAAACTGGCGCTAAATCGGGCATGAGGGAAAATTGAACATTCTGTTACCATGAAAGAAAGGTTCGGAGAGTCGAAATGCTCAACGAAGAAAGTCGTAGCGGTCGTAGCGGCTGTGGTGCCGCTCTGGGCAGCATCAGCAAGCTGGGCTTGTCCGTCCTTTCCGGACTTTCCATCTTTTCCATCTTTGCCAAACTTGCTCTTTCCTTTGCCCTTCTTTCCTTTCTTTCCTTTTCCTTTGGCTGCATAGGATTCCTCTGACTCATACCAGGACCAGTCATCCCAGGACTGATCGTTCCACTGGTAGTCTTGCCATTGTCCTTCTGCTTGCCATGCTTCTGATTCATTGGCAAGATGTGACCTGCCTTTCTTCCTTTTGAAGAAGCGCCTTCCTTTGGATCCTTTGCCACCTTTTCCTTTACCTTTGCGGTGGCCCTTGAATCCGCGCCTCATCTTGCGGCCTTGGAAACGCCGCTGGAACCATGAGTAGTTCCAGAAGGCGTCCTCATCCGCTTCGAGGAAACCTTCGGTGCCATCTTCCTCGTCCTCGACCCAGTAGCCTTCATGATCGTTCAAGTATCCTTCGTCGATCACAAGGAACGTCTTGCGGCCGGAAGGAGCGAGGAGAGGATTGTCGACGGTAGTCTTGGTCGTGCAGAAGATCTCAAGGTATACCTCACGCAATTCAACCGTATTGTAGTCGGCTAAAACTCGGTTCCGATGCGCCATCAACGATGTCAACACCTGCCGCTGATCCTGTGTCAAGTCGGACAGAGAGACAAAAACCAAAGCAACGAGATTGGCCGTGATCGGAATGGTCCGAGCATGCTGCTCTCTGAGCCGTTCGTTGGCTGTCTCCATTGCCTGAATTGGCGTGATTCTTTCTTGTTCTTCTGGTGGAAGTCCTGCTATGAAAGCTCTGACCTCTGCATTGTTCGGGTCTTCGATCGGCAGATAGGTATCGTTCCACGCTTCCTGCATTCTCTGAACAGAGAGTTGAAACCTGGTAATCCAACGAAGCATGTCAATGTCTCCGTTCCCACGGTGCATATTCATGAACTGCTGGAAGCGGTAGAGAAAAACATTCGCTGCTCCCTTCACGAAAAGCGGCCGCAGGAAACTCTTGAAGTACTTCACTCCGTTGTTCGGGTCCTTCAGGCGATCTCTGTCGAGAAGCCTCTTGTGGATTGCTGCTTCACCTTCTAGCCGATTTCTCAAAGCTGGTCCACGCTTATCATTGTCTAACTCAGTAATGTCACACCAGTCATCGATCGCATCTTCACAGGCAAACCAACTGCTTCTACCATCGTAAGATGGAGGTACTTTGGTGGTCACCTGCTGGAAAGCTGAAAGACGGTGTAGTTCATTGAGATGACGATGACTACTGTGGGGGTACTCTGATGTGTCCTACGTTTTCTTTGTTTTCCGGTCCCCGAAAAATGGACTTGTAAAGCTCGTCGAAAGTGTGGCAGGGTAGGGAAGCCCTGGACGGAGGTTTCAGGCCTGGAGAAGTGTTGGGAGGGACTTGGCAAGGCTGCAGTGCATGAACAGTAGACGCCTTCAAATAGTGCCCGAATAGTGCCCGAAGTAGTGCCCGAACTAGTACCTGAATGAACTCTTCATAGTGCCCAAATGATTTTTCGCGAAGAAAAAGGAGATTTTCCTTCCTTTACGAAAGGAAATGTATTTGGGCACTATGAAGGGTTCATTCGGGCACTATTTCGGGCACTATTCGGGCACTATTCGGGCACTATGCCAGGTGGAGGCTTGGGCGGCATTATCTGGAGGGCTAAGGGTTGGGAGGCCTGCAGGACCACCAAAACACTGGAAATGCGCACGAAGAATAGGAATTTGTGCTGCAGGAGGCATTGGGGAGTGATCTGCGGGGCAGGGTTTGGAATGCAAAAGGGGGGGTTTAGGGAAGGATCTGCAGAGTTTAGGGCAGGATCTGCAAGGCAGGATTTGGGGGAGGGTCCGCAAGCAAGCGTTTGGAGGAGCATACACGAAAAACATGAGGGGTGGCATGTGCAAAAAATTGTAGGGTAGTCTATCTACAAGTTTACGGGGGCCTTGGCCATGCGAGGGTTTAGGGAAAGATCAGGCAGGACTTCGGGGAGGATCTATAACGAGACTTTATGAAGGAGTTATGGTTTTTATCGAGTGCAGCAGCAGTCAGTCATTGACAGTCTTCTTGTTTGCATATTCAGAAACCTCCCCCCCGCCCCCTCAATTTCAATGTGTGCCGCAATGTGTGCCGCAATGCTCATTGGGCGCTTCTATGTAAACATTGAATTTGGGGGGAGCGGGGGGTCTGGAAGGTTTCAAGATTTGTGGACAAACAATTCCAAAATTGTACTATCGCGCGAGGCCATTTTCAGTGTTCGAAAAACCACGAAAACTGTAGGACGCATTAAGGTACCCCCATAGTCAGTTGCCGCCTTGCTTGCCATGCTGTGGTATTTATGACAAGTAGTTGTCATGACATCATGGTCAACAGTCTCAAGCTGACCACGCACAGACCCCGCGCATAGCTACAAGGTTGTTTTTCGAGCAAAGTTCCAATCCAATTGGGAGCGTCTTTGTCCAAAGGTTTTCGATCCATTCTAGAGCCCATTTTCGAGCTCCAAAAACGAAGCCCAAAATGGGGTCTCCCCTAATAGTTTCCAATCAGGCGGTCTCAGCTTTGGGAACCAATTTTTGGCCGCAAAATGGGGACCAACCCGAGCTCAAAAACTGCGGAATTCTGCGAGGGAGACGTGTTTGAAGCTTTACCAAAGTTTTGCCCGACATGCGGCGACCAGTGTCGCGAGCGACCGCGTCTGTTGAAATCAATCAAAACGCTCCGTTGCTACCCTGGTGATTGGGCTTGTGCTGCTTAAGCACCGTTGTTTGCCACTGTAACTGTGGGGGTACTCTGATGTGTCCTACGTTTTTTGTTGTTTTCCGGGCCCCGAAAATGGGCTCGTAAAGCTCGTCGAAAGTGTGGCAGGGTAGGGAAGCCCTGGACGGAGGTTTTCAGGCCTGGAGAAGTGTTGGGAGGGACTTGGCAAGGCTGCGGTGCATGAATAGTAGACGCCTTCAAATAGTGCCCGAATAGTGCCCGAATAGTGCCCGAAATAGTGCCCGAACTAGTGCCCGAATGAACCCTTCATAGTGCCCAAATGATTTTTCGCGAAGAAAAAGGAGATTTTCCTTCCTTTACGAAAGGAAATGTATTTGGGCACTATGAAGGGTTCATTCGGGCACTATTTCGGGCACTATTTCGGGCACTATTCGGGCACTATTCGGGCACTATGCCAGGTGGAGGCTTGGGCGGCATTATCTGGAGGGCTAAGGGTTGGGAGGCCTGCAGGACCACCAAAACACTGGAAATGCGCACGAAGAATAGGAATGTGTGCTGCAAAGTAGGCAATTGGGGGTGATCTGCGGGCAGGGTTTGGAAGGGCAAAAAGGTGGGGTGTTTAGGAAGGAGCGCAGAGTTTAGGGCAGGATCTGCAAGGCAGGATTTGGGGGAGGGTCCGCAAGCAAGCGTTTGGAGGAGCATACACGAAAAACATGAGGGGTGGCATGTGCAAAAAATTGTAGGGTAGTCTATCTACAAGTTTACGGGGGCCTTGGCCATGCGAGGGTTTAGGGAAAGATCAGGCAGGACTTCGGGGAGGATCTATAACGAGACTTTATGAAGGAGTTATGGTTTTTATCGAGTGCAGCAGCAGTCAGTCATTGACAGTCTTCTTGTTTGCATATTCAGAAACCTCCCCCCCGCCCCCTCAATTTCAATGTGTGCCGCAATGTGTGCCGCTATGCTCATTGGGCGCTTCTATGTAAACATTAGATCAGGCAGGACTTCGGGGAGGATCTATAACGAGACTTTATCAAGGAGTTATGGTTTTTATCGAGTGCAGCAGCAGTCAGTCATTGACAGTCTTCTGGTTTGCATATTCAGAAACCTCCCCCCCGCCCCCTCAATTTCAATGTGTGCCGCAATGTGTGCCGCTATGCTCATTGGGCGCTTCTATGTAAACATTGAATTTGGG